CCCTGGGGCACGAGTCCTTGGTGTTTTACTTGTGCTCCTATAGACTGCCCTTCTCCTGTGGCTCCAAGCTGCAATGTTTTATGTACGGCTGTTGCTATAGATCGGGCTTCTCTTGGGGCACGAATCCTCCCTAGGAGATCCCAGGAGGCTCCAGGAGGCTCCAGGAGGCTACACGAGGCTCCAGGAGGCCTCAGGAGGCCACTCGAAGCCCCAAGAGGCCCCAGGAGGCCCCAGAGGCTCCTGGAGGTTCCAGGAAGGCCCAAAAGGTTTCTGGAGGCCCCAGGAGGCCCCAGGCTCATGCGCAGAGACGCGCTCGTACTACCGAGACTCATTCACGCTCCAATCCGCTCGAAGTTGGATTCATGACCAGACCGTCACAACTCAAGCCCGCTTACTTTCGAAACATCTTGCGCCTAGACTCTCACGGCGGACAGGTCCATTCGAATAGATGCACATATGGGAAGCTCCACGCAGTGAGTACATCCCCAGGTCGAAAGTTTTTTCCTCTTGCATGGGAGCGCATGGATCCATGTTGATCCAAGTACGTGTGTGCGAGTCACGTGGGTCCAATTTCCGCGTCTTTTGGATCTTTTTTTGGGCGTGGACGCTTCGTGGATCCAATTCTTGTGCTGGAATAAGTTTATAAGAATAATTCATACAAGGGACCCAAGGGGAAATGGATCCACGGAGCCTTGGACCTGCAGCCCAAGCCATGGTTCTACGGGGGAGGGGTCTTCCCTACCGAGGGAGGCGGACGAGGAGGGAGGACGGAAGAGGCGGAAGAGGGAGGAGGGAGGAGGAGGGAAAACGACCGCGGTGCCCGAGCGCCACAGCGGGCCTGGCTACCTCTCCGAACCCCTCCCATAACATGTCGTTGCTCGAGCGCCACAGCTGCCCCGGCCAACTCCCGCAGCCTCCATAACGTGTGGATGACCGAGCGCCACAGCGGGCCTGGCCAACTCCCGCAGTCTCCCATAACAGATGCCGCACCCCACCTCGACACGAGCGCGAAATGATCGCTGCGTCCGCATCCGCTAAAGTCAACGACGCTTTGCATTTGTGCTGTGGGCCTCAAGAGGAAAATCTTTCGGCCTGCTCAAGTCACTTACTATTTTTGCCTATTCGGGGGTATTTTCGGAGTTTGTTTTTGAGCCCAAACTCCCCCTGTAGGGGGACACGCCCCACTTCATCCTACCCTGACGCGTCGATCAGCGAATGGGCCGTTTTCGGTTCGCGAGAGGGCGTCGCGGCCGTCGTTCTTGCGGTTCCAGGTCCGTCGGTCTCGGTCTTAGGCCGTTTTCACCAGAGGGTGGTTTAGTAAAGGGAGGTTTGTCCATTGCCGAGACGGATGCGTGATCAGGAGGCGCAGTCCCTCACCAGGGCCCCCTTCCCCTCGTGAGCGTTTTTTTTAATTTCTTGTTTTGCCGATCCGCGCGGGCCCTCGCCCCCCCCTCCCCCGCCCCCCCCATGGAGTAGATCTTGGCTGCTTTTGGCGCCTGTCTCGAGTATGTGGAGTCTCCCCCCCTTCAAGACGCACGGTTCCAAGCAGTCGCATTGAGCAGTCGTTCGGAGCCAGAGCCCCCCCCTTCCCTCCTGGACCTCTCCTGGGGCGCGTTCCGACCCGACCAGAATCTCAAGGCGGAGAAGGTCAAAGCGCCCAAGTGTCGATCCTCGATTCTCGATCCTCCTCCCCTCCTTCCTTCCCGCCCTCCTTCCTCCCTCCCGCCGGGCGTGGCTGTACCCAGGCACCGACGCTGGGCTGTCGCTGCGCCAGCGCCTGCTGCGCAAGCGCCACGCCAGCGAGATGCCGGAGGCGTGGCTCCCAAGGGGGGGGGGCCCCTTTGTCTGTGTTTAGTCTTGTCGGAAGTTTCTAAGTTTTTTCCGGCCTCTGCGGGCTCGATCCGGGCCCCGGGCCAGTCGGAAATCGATTTGGGATGACACATTATCCAGAGGGAACCCCAGGAGAGGTCCAGATTGGGGGAGCAGGTTTCGAGGGTCGAGCTCGAGCATCGAGACTTGCCGATCTGTGTTTTCGATGCAGCTCTCCTTTCCTTTTGAGCCTTCGGCACGCGGGCGATGGCGCCGACGTGCTGCAGCGTCGGCACCGTGCAGCTCGCGTCGACCTCCTGGTTGCCGCCCCTCGGCCCTCCCCCGCCCCCCCCGTTCGGTCCCCTGCCTCCCCCTCCCCGCCCTGCGCCTCCTGTTCCCTTCCCTTCTCCTCTCTTTCTCCGTCTCTCCTCTCCTCTCCCTCTCCCTCCTCCTCCTCCTCCTCCTGCGATCTCCTCCTCCTCCTCCTCCTCCTCCTCCTCGTCCTCCTCCTCCTCCTCCGCCCCGAGGGGGCCCCTCCCGTAGGGGAGGGGTCGGGACCCTAGGGTCCTCCTGGCGCAGGCGGGGAGCGCCGGGCCCGAGGGGCGAAAATCCCCCGCACCCCGGGGGACGCCGCCAAAGTGCGGTTTCCTTCCCCCGGGGGGGTCGCCAGGCCCCGTGTGCTTCCCCAGGGCGGTGCTGGGTCCCCCCCAGCGCTCGCCGCCCTGGGGCGGGGCTGGCGGCTCGTCTCTGTCGTGTCGCTCGTCCGTGTCGTGTCGTTCGTGTCGCGTCGTTCGTTTCGTCCCCCCGTCGTGTCGCGTCGTGTCGTGGTCCCCTTTTTTTTTTTTTGTTGGTTCGGTCCCGGGGGTCCCTGGGTCCGAAACCGCGGCCACCTATGGAGTAGGTGGTGGGTAGGATGGGCGTCGGAGCACGTGCTCCGGCGCCCCCTACCCCGATCAGGGTACGCGGAGCACGGTCTCCTTTTTTGCGTTCCCTGGTCGCGCCGTGAGCGCGCCACGGGGGCATGGCCCCGACGGTGGCGCGGGCTGAGTGTGCCTTGTGCATGCCGCGGAAGCTTCAGTGCTCAAAAAAATCCTCCTCCTTCTCCTCCCCATCGTCCTCGTCCTCCAGTCCTTGTCCTTGAAGAGAATTTCTCCCTGTCGCACCCCGAGGCCGGTCGAAATGGCGGGCTGGGCGTGTCGCTTGAGACTATCGCAGAATCAATGATCTTACATCTAGAAGATCTCTGCAACAATTTTACGGATGGGGGGCGGTCTGCTTTCAGAGTGTCGCTGTCGTCGCGCCGCGCACACTCGTTTGTCAAACGAGGCAAGGATGTATCAGATGGAGGGCGGTCCGTCACCAGCCTCGAACTTATCCCTATCCCTGAGAGTGACACGCCAAAAGGCGATGACAATCTTAGGGATGCGCCCCCCAGAAACGGAGGGAAGCCCTGAGATCGCCATCGTGATGAGGCGATGCCGAACATGGGGCTAGGGATATGTTCCAGGCTGGTAAGTCCGTTCTCAAGATCTGTGGCTCCCGCTCCAGCGCCGTGCGCGCGCGCCTCCAGGCATGCTGCGCGAGAGCTGCGCGGCCGGAGGGCGGTCCGCTGTCGGAGCGGGGCCCTCGCCTCGGCGCCCCGCACGGCCGTTGTTTTTTTCGCAGACGTCTGCTGTGCAGCGCACAGCACGCAGGGCGGCTCCTTCTCCAAATGTGGCTCTCGCCTTAAGTCGGGCCTGTCCCCCTGCAGGGGGATTTTCGACGAAGAATAACAAGTACCCCAAAAATGGTCAACAAATAGTCCAAAAATAGTCTGGGGACTATTTTTGGGGTATTTTTTGACCTTTTGAGGTCATTTTTTTTTTTTTTGTACTTTCGTCGAAAATGCCCCAGCGCCGCGCACACTCGTCTCGAGAGTCGGCCGGTGAGCGTCCCCGAAGCGGTGCTCTGGCACGACGCGGGAAGGTCGAGGCGCAGCAGTCACGTGGACTCGTGGTGTTCACGTCCCAGGAGCGGCGTTCTGGCGCGATTCAGGGTCGTCAAGTCGCGACCGTCACGGTGACTCGCGGCGTTGAAATCCCAGAAATGGGGTCCTGGAAAGGTTCCAGATTTTCAATTGGTTGTCTTCCAACGGGGTATTTTTCTTTGAACATGAATCCGTGGAGGAGGCTATGAAGAGGGAGCTTGGGGAGGGAGCGTTCATGGCATGTCCTTGATGGGTTTGGGTTTCTTTTGGTCCTCCTCTTCTTCCTCCTACGTACTCCTCCCATCTACGTCTCTCGCCTGCGCCTCCCCTCTTCCTCCCCTGAACCTCTGCCCTCGACCTGCTCCGCCAGCGGCACCTCCACGTTCTCACAGTCGGGGCGCTGAAGAAGGAACCCTTTTCGTTGGGGAGGGGCTCCGCGTTCCTTAAGTGTTTCACAGCTTGCCTCAGGGTTTCCTTATGTTTTCGACAGGAAATCGAAGGTTAACTTATGGGAAAAAGGAGCCTCGTTCCTTACTTAGGGTTCCTTAGGTCAACGCCCCGACGGTATCGCCTCTCTTCCTGCACGTAGGCGATCTCCCCAGCCTCCTCGGCGAACAGCAGCCGCAGGGCCGCGGCGTCGAAGCCGTCCGCCCAGCGCCCTGCCATGGCCACGCCGACAATTGCCTCCCCACGTCCTCCGACGTCGGATCTCCGGCGTCGTCGAGCTCGAGCGCCGCGTGGCGCTCTGGGAGGCCGGGGGCCCAGCCAGGCTGCCTGTAGGGGAACAACAAGTGACATAAACATAACAACTCGGAGGGCCGCGCGGATTTCTCGGATCGGCGCAGACCTCCGAGTTTTTATGTTTATGTCACTGGGACGGAGTGGGGAGGCGGTCGACGTCCGCCAGGACGGCGTGCCAGGCGAAGGGTCCGCAGCTGCCTCCAGAGCTGAGCGCCTGGCCCGCGAGGGTTCGCTGTCGAAGGCAGTGGGCGGCTGGAAGGGCGGCATCAAGATCAAGACGCTGGAGGTGGCCCAGCAGCACCGCTGGGCGAAGGAGCTGCCACCTCGCGTCGCGCTCGGCACGGCGGCGCTGGCGCCGCCGGCCGCTGACGCGAGCGCGGGCGCGCAGGAGCCTGCGGCCGCGGGCGCGCTGGGACAACCCTTCGAAGGACATGTGGTGCCCGTCTCTCTCCATGGGCCTGGCCCGTCACACTGCCGCCCTGAGCACGTGGCGGAGATGCTGGCCGTGCGGAAGAGGGGCGTGGCGAACCGGCTGTACAGAGCCTTGGGGCGTTTTATCGCTTTGGGGCAGATTGGCGCGTTGCCGGCGTCGGCCAGGCGGATCCTCGGCTCGGCGGCCATGTTCTTGGACAAGCCAGGGCGCGAGGCCCCGCGAAGGCCGTCGCCAAGTCTCTGCTCCGCGACCACCGCGTCAAAAGCGCGTCCTCATGATCCAGCTCGGGCAGTGCGGAGTTGCCTCGCCGGCCGGAGCGGCGGGAGGCGCTGCTCCGCGCCAGGGCGACCATCGAGGAAGTCGCGGCCACCGGGGCCTTGGGGCCGTTAGCCGTGGTGGACGGGGACCTGGTGAGCTGCTTCGGCAGTTTCGAGTGGCCAGCGATCCCTGACGCCTACACGCAGAGCTGCTTCCAGAGATGCTCCCGTGGGAGGCGTGGTGCACCCGCGCCGCCGCCGAAGCGCGCCTGCCGTGCGGCGACACGGTGTTCGTCGACCGCGGTTCTGGGCAGAGCGAGCCAGACGGGACGCCGATGGCGCCCACGACGATCGGAGCGCGCGCTCGCGGGGTGAAGGATGACACCGCGTCTGCCGACCTCGGGGAGTGGGTTCACGGTTGGTTCCTGGACGACGGCCAGATCTACAGCAGACCTCACCAGCTTGATGGCCTCCGTCGCCGTCTGTCAGAGCCCCGAATCATCAGGGGTAACTCGGGTCAGGGATAACTCGGGTTCGTTTCTCGGGAATCCAAACCCGAGTTACCCCGGACCCGAGTTACCCCGGATAACTCGGGCGTCCAGAGCCCCGAATCATCAGGGATAACTCGGGTCAGGGCTAACTCGGGTTCCTTTTCCGGGAATCCAAACCCGAGTTACCCCGGACCCGAGTTACCCCGGATAATTCGGGCGCCCAAGTCTGGGCGCGCGTCTGCACGCGGCGGGGGCCACGCGCGGTAGCCGAACTCAGGGCCACGACAGCACGGTTGTCATCACCGGCGCGCCAGAGCAGCGGCAATCCTCAGCGCCCCACTTGACGGAGTACGTCCGCGACGCGTGCAAGACGCTGGGGCCCGTCGAGCAGCGAACGGTGCTGGGCGGTTTGCTGGTTGGGAGCCGCGGGTCGGCTGTGCGCGAAGGTGGAAGCGCTGCGCGAGGCCATCGACGAGGTCGGCGACGCGGCGGCCGAGTTTGTCCCCAAGAGTGAACGCGCGGACGTCTGCAAGGCCACGTACGCGCTGCGGCTAAACGGTGACAGGATCCTGGAGGATTCCGTCGCGCATTTCGAGTCGGCATTCCGCGACAGCATAGGGCGCGCGGTGAGGGGCAAACCGAGCGATGAGCTTTGGGCGCAGGCTGCTTGCGCCGCGCGCGAGGGGGGCCTGGGTGCGCGAAAGCCGCTGGAGGTCAGCTTGCCCGCGTTCGTCGCGAGCCGGGCGACCGCCCGCCCGGGCGCATTCGCCCTCTTCGCCTGCATGGAAGACGCCGGCTTCGCTGGGCGAGGCGAGCTGCGGGCGGCCTGCGACTCGCGGGGCGCTGCCGCGCTCGCCAGGCTGAAGGGGCGGGCAGCAGGCGGCGCAGCTTTGCGCGACCACCTTCGCGCGCTGGTGGAGGGCGGCGCTTGCTCGGCGCAGGAGTGGTGGGGCGCCGCCGCGCGCGGAGAGGAGGGGCAGGCGCCGAGGCGCGACGCGGGCCCGCCGATGGGCGCCGAGGGCTCGGGCTCGCGGCGGGCGCCCTCTCTACAGGCGAGCCCGTGTCGATCCCTTGATGACCTGGGGCCCCAGAAATTCAAGGGCGCGGTGCGTGATTGAGGAGCGAGGCGAGGATTTCCGCCGCCTCGCCGATCCACGGGGCCCGCGCCAGGACCACTCTTGGATGCGGTCTCTGAACCCCGCTGTGGGCGCGGTGGTGGCACGAGGCGCATTCGCCTCAGGCGCGCTTTCGCCTCCGCGGAGAGGCTCGGCGCGGCTTGCGGAGAGCGCGTGCTGGACCAGCGGGGCTATAGCGTGCGCTGTGCTGGGCTCGGGGCGAGTCCACGCAGGGCCACTGCCGCGTGTGGGGCGCCTTGGTGGTGCCGTTCGCGGCGGCAGACCGCGCGCGAGGTGCCGGGCCCGGTGCCATCCGCGCTGGGGGTGAGACTGGCAATAATCTTGATTCGAGCCGCCCGCGCGCTTGGCCACTGCCGTCGACGCGACGGTGAAATCTCCGAATGCGAAGGGCGCAGGCCTCGATGGCACCGAGGCTGGCAAGAGGGGGAAACTCGGGCGGCATGCCGCGGCGCTGCCAGAATTGGAGGCCCAGGGCATCCGTTGAACCCCAGCTGCTTTCAGCGCCAATGGCCGCCGCCATCCCGACGTCGCGCACATGTTGAACCAGGCTGCGCGTCGCGCGGCCCGGCGTCGGGGGGCGTCCATCGCTGAGGTGCCAGTGCGTGGCTGGGCGCGGGACCTCGCCGTCGCCGTCTTTTCGCGGGCGGCGGCGATGGTCCACAGATGTTGGGGCGACGGCGGCGTGGAGTTGCCTGCGGCGGCCCCCGCGCAGGAGGGCCGAAAGGATGACGAGGACGACGAGGGCGACAGTTTCTCGGTGGTTGGCGGGGCCGCTGCGGGGGGCGCGTGAGGCCCAGGCGCGGCCGGTGACCTACCTGCGCTTCTAGGGGCCGTCGCGAGGTCACCGACATATCGGTGACTTGCTGCCGCGTTTTCCAGCATTAGCAATGTTTGTATGAACGCATGCGTGGATTGATGCGCGGTTATTTTTGGATGCAGTTTTCCGCCGTGTCGAGCGGCCAAAGGGGCGCATCTGGCAACGGCTCTGAATGATACATCAATTTTGCTAGCCAAGGCCCCCTGAAAGCAGGGATCTTGACCAATGCGCGCGTGTGATCGGTGCCCTTTCGGGTTCCGCTGGCGGGGTAAGAAGGGCACCGATGCCAGTGCCTCCTCAGAGCAGGGGGTCAGAGCACCGATGCCAGGGCCGAGGCCTGCAAGTGATTGCCTCGCTCTGTCCTCCTCTCTTGCCCCGTCTTCTCCTCGTTCCTGTCCCTCCCCTCCGCGTCCGAATTCGGGGTTCGAGTCTCGGCCGCGCTCCCAGAACAGGCGGTGCATTGCGGGAGGATTCGTCTTGGTGTCCGCTCCAGTCTCCGTCATCCGCGCATGGTTCTTAGACCTGGCATGGACGTGTGCATTTTTTCTCGGCGAGAACCATTGAGGACGATCCTGGACCATCGAGCAAAACAAAAACACGCACGAAACCGAAAAATGCACGGGAAATGGACGTCCGAGCGATGGCGAGTAGATGTTCGTCAAGAAAATACGGGCCGACTGCTTCGCATCCATCGGCGCGTGGGTGGGCTTCTCGACGTGTTGTCTTCCGTCGGCGCCTCCTCGCTGCTGTCGATCCCCGTCGGCACGTGGGCGCTCCCCCCGACGCACTCGAACGTGGGCGTCTCCGTGATTTCCTTGCCGATATTATGATGATGATGGTGACGAGAATTCTGATGATGACGGCGGCGATTACGATGCCGACGGCGATGATGATGACGATGACGATGACGATGGCGATGGCGATGATGATGGTGATGCTGCTGATGATGATGACGCTTACGATGAAGTTCGCGATGGCGATGCTGGTGGTGGTGATGACACTGACGATGACGGCTGGTGGACGGCGTCGTTGATGGGTTTCGATTCAGAAATGATGATGATGCTGGATGTAATGGTAATGCTGCTGCTGATGATGATGATGATGAGGAGGAGGAGGAGGAGGAGGCTGAGGAGGAGGAGGAGGATGAGGAGGAGGGAGAGAATGAGGATTATGATGGGGATGTTGATGATGACGACTACGATTCTGATGATGGTAGTGGTGATGACGACGATGTTTCGGATGCTGATGGTGATGAGGAGGAATACGACGATTGATGGATGGCGTAGATGACTATGATGATGACCGGGCTTCGGCCCTTCACGCCACCGTGCCTGGGTTGCGTGTGTGAAGCTTATTGGATGTTTGTTGAGATCTCGTGGGTGGTCTCTCGGGCGCCTCGTGGAGGCAGTTTGGACGTCTGTTTGGGTCTTTTGGGGGTCTCTTGAGGCCTCTTGGGGGCCTCTTGGGGGGGTTTCGTGTGGCCTCTGTGGCGCCTCTTGGGACCTCATGGGGGCCTCTTGGGGCGGAAGGCTCGGATTCTTGGTTCGGGTTCACTCTCTTGGGCCCCTTTTGAGGTCGTTTTGGGGCCCTCTTGGGCTGTTGGGCGCCTCTTGGGCCGTCTTGGGGCCCTCTTGGGCTGTTTTTGGGCTTTCTTGGAGGCCTTGTGGGCCGTTTTGAAACCGAAAATGTGAGAACGCCCAAATCCTTGAAAACCACAGGAAAATCATTGATTTTGGTCTCTTGAGGCGCTCTTGGAAGGCCTCTTGATGGCCTCTTTGGTCGTGTTGGAGGCCTCTTAGGCCGTCTTGGGGCCATCGCGAGCGTCTTCGAGCGATCGTTTGGCGACTTGGGGCCCTCTTGGACCGTCTTGGGGGCTTTTAGGGGCCCTCTTGGTCCGTCTTGGGGTCTCTTTGGGCCTGGCAAATTCATGCGATAATACTTCCCGGAACCCAGGGGCATGCGGGAAGCTCCGGTTGATGTGAGAATTCTTGAGAATTCGGGATTTGGGCGCCTGATAGACTTCTCAGGAGTGAGCATTCGGGCTTAGAGGATTAGGCACATTACTTGAGGACACGCCCACTCCGCGCCCAGAGGCACGGTGGCGGATGTTGTTGATGATGATTGTGCTGATGCTGCTGCTGCTGATGTTGATGATGGCGGCACGATGATGATTACTATGCTAATGATAGTGGTGATGCTGATGATGCCGCTGCTGATGATACTGACGACGGGTATTGCGCTGATGACGACGATGATGAGGACGAGGACGGTAACGACGACGATGATATTGCTGATGATGATGGTGACGATCATGACACTGATGCTGACTCTGCTGACGATGATGATGCGGATGGTTATAATGATGACGGAGATGTTGATGATGATGAAGATGATGTTGATGCTGCTGGCGATGACGAAAGCGATGCTGATGATGCTGATGGTGGTGATGGTGGTGATGGTGATGATGGTGATGGTGAGGAGGAGGAGGACGAGGACGAGAAGGAGGAGGAGGAGGAGGAGGAGGAGGAGGAGGAGGGGGGATCATGATGATGATGATGCCGATGCTGATGCTGATGCTGATGCTGATGGTGATGATGATGATGATCATGATGATGGTGCTGATGATGATGATGATGATGATGATGATGATGATGAGGAGGATGAGGAGGATGCTGACGACGACAACGACGGCGGTGAAGGCGAGTTGGAGGAGGATGAAGAGGTTGAGGATGAGGGTGAGGATGAGTAATCAGAACACTAGGAAGATAGTGATGAGAAGGAGCATTTCGAGGATGATTATAGAGGTAATGATGGTGATGGTTGTGCTGATGACGATAATGATGGCGACGATGATGACGGCGATGATGACGATGACGATGACGATGACGATGACGATGACGATGATGATGATGATGATGATGATGATGATGATGATGATGATGATGATTATGATGATGCTGCTGATGATGATGAGGACGATGACGATGATGGTGATTCTGATGATGATGATGACGATGATG